CTGGCTCTCTATGTGTGACCTCTTATCGTTAAATATGTTTAATGCCTCTTATCGTTAAATATGTTTAATGCCCATTATCAGATCAGAGATAATGGGTGTAAACACCTAATACAGTGCCAGCCTCCTAAACAGTGAGGTGGAGTCGGGAAGACACACTGCCTTGGCAGGCAGAATCTGCCCTACTTAGATTTCTGACCTTGGCATTGATTTCCTCCATAAAATGCCTGGGTTAGGGTGGTCAGGAACTATTTCACTGTTAAGAATCTGGTGAGATAATGTAAGCGATCTATAAAAAGGTACAAAAGCTCATATGTTAAAAATATTAGAGAACTCAGTCCCACTCTAACCCCAGTTAAAACCCCAGAGCTAGATCATTTCTAAGAATTAAGATATTGTTTCCCACAAGTAATTGGGCTTGTTGTGAAACAGACCGTCTCCTCCGTTGTAGTAGAGACATCCAGGAACTGAACCTATTCATCAAAGCTTTCCTATTGCCAGTTTTTACTACATATGTTGTTTAATATGTTACTTAGCATTTAGAGCCAAGAACTTCCCGTCAGGATTATTGACCAGCCACTAACTTCTAAATTCAGGGCTGGGTTACTGTGGGCTGCAGGGTGAATACAGAAAGTAGGGTGGCCAGTTTTAAAAGCTTGTTTTTTCATCATGCTTACTTAAAAAAAAGATGTGTACATTTTCATCATTTTTGTAAAGCCCCAGTTGAGGCAAATAAATTTGTAAGAGAAGAGAAAAGCCCCAGAACTGTTCATGAAAGTCTCAGTTATATATATAAATACGAATTAATGTTTATGGTTACATTTTTTAACATTGAAAAGGTATATGGTTTATATCACAAGGTTCTGTGGTTACTGTGTGTAAAGAATTTTCAGTTGTTCTCTAATGACAGTGTACATAAAATCTAATGTCTGTAAGGAACATTTGCCTCATTTCCTGGGCCCTGCCAAGTAGTGTCTGTGAACAGGAAATGAGGAAGCCCATGCCCTCAACCTCTTTATTTTAGGGAAAAGTTTATGCAGATGTGGTTTGAATTAAAGAAGGAGTGAGTCATTTGTCTTCAAAAGAAAGGCCATATGGAAGTAATTCTACAAATATTTAGTTGTACATAAATTCAGTCAAGTTGCTTCAACTAGAACTTAAGCTCAAACCCCATTCTCACAGTTTAATAATTTATAGGACTGTTCAAAACAGCCCTTTGTATACATCTATCTGGTTTCCTAGCATTCCAAGAGAGGAAATGGAGCAAATTTCCTGGCTTGAGATATGAGCTGGCAAGAGTATATGCGCCTCTTGAGAGCAGAAAACGTGATCAGTTGCTCCAGAGCTGGATGAAATACCACACCCTTCATGTGACCAAGACTTTCCTGAAACAGCTTAGCTTAAAGTCAGACGTTAGCTTGAAAACTAACTAGTGTATATCCCCAGGCAGGAGAGTGGGAGGCTTGAAAAAAGCCAAAACAGAAAGAAGGGAGGGGACGATTTGGAGAAAACGGACAATGAAGGAAGAAGAAAACATTGGAAAAGAAAGCTATCACTGATGCCCTCAGAGAAAAACACTGCATCCACAAAACAACAGGATGCACTCTAAAAAATATCTTTTCGGAGAATGAAAACTAAGTCATAAATTTTTTTAAAAAATGAAGAACAATGGGAGACATTGAGATAAAGATGAAAGAAAAATTTCCTGAAGCAGCGTAAAAAGATAGAGATGGAAAAACAAGAGATAAAAGGTAAATGAGAGGCCCAGTCTGGGAGGCCCATTATCCAGAAAGCCTAGATCCAGGAATATACTAGTTTTGAAAAGACGTCACAGACTGAATGTTTGTGTTTGAGTGCTCCCCCGCCCCCAATTCATATGTGGACATCCTAACCCCCCAGATGATAGTATTAGGAAGTGGGGCCTTTGGAGGTGATTAAGTCGTGAGGGTGGAGCCCTCATGAATGGGACTAGTGCTCATATAAACGTGGCCCCAGAGACCCAGAGAGCTCTCTCAAGCTCCTTCTGCCACGTGTGAGTCCAGTGAGAAAGCAGCACTTAAAAACCTGAAACAGGGCCCTAGACAGAGACTGAATCTGCTGGTGCCTCAATCTTCAACTTCAGCTTCCAGAACTTTGAAAAATTAATGTCTGTTGTTTAAGCCACCCAGTTTAGGGAATTTTGTTATAGCAGCCCAAGCTGACTAAATAAGTGGAGGACAAAGTGAAAATTTCAAAAACCTTCCCAAAAAGGAAGAGTATGCCACTGAAATGCCCAGCCCAGTGGATGAAAATAAATCCTTACAAATGCACAACACTGAAATTTTACAACACGGAAACAAGAAGTTCCTACAAGCTTCCAGGCTGTGGAGGAGAAGGGGGGAACATTTCTTAGGAAGGAACAAGAATCAGAGTAGCACTGGACTTCCCAGCACTGAAAAGTAGAACACAAGGGGGTAATGCCTTCAAAAGTCTAAGGAAAAATGGTTTCCCAGCCCCGGATTCTAGATCCAGCCAAACTACCAATTGAGTGAGGAGACAAAATTGACGTTTTCGAACACACAAGGTCTGATTTATGTCCCATGAATGTTTTGTAAGAAATTCCTGAAGAATGTTCTCCACTAAAGCAGGGTAAGCAAGCAAGAAAGGTGGGATTCTCCAAATAGTGGCGAAAAGAGATCCTACATTAAGACGACAGTTTGCCGCTGACTTAGAGCACAGCCAAACCAGAATGAAGCAGATCAGAGGCTGTGGGAGCAAATTCTTCAAGAAGATGAAATTGATAGTCAACCTATCTGTTCAAATTTGCTGACAGGAAGGACACTGATGTACCCGAGGGAAGGGTTTAAGAGTCAGACAGCAAAATCGTCAGTACATACGACATGCGTCAGTACATACGACACACGACATAGAGTTCTAAGTGCTACTTACATAATTATATGCCAATGTGATTATATTGGGAGCATGAAAAAACAGGATGTGTGCAAGAGAGGTGGGGGAAAGATGAAAGACAGCTGAATCTTCTAAATTAAGGACTCAGTAAATAATGGCTAAAACAAAAAAGTCAATAAGAAGCAATGTAACACAATATATCTACTTATGAATAGTAGCATTACCAAGGTCAGATTTCTCGGACGTGATCATTATATTGTGGATAAATGGCATGGTGTCTGCAACTCTCAAATAGAACGCATGCAACAAATGTGAATCTAAATAAGGGTATGCAGGTGTGCATCATACTCTTCACATAACTTCCCTGAAGCTTTGAAATTTTTTAAAAATAAAAGCTGGGAGATGAGCAGTAGTGCACTGGCATTACTTAGACGTAGATAGCCATGTTTATTAAAACTGCAAGTGTTTGCCCGTAGGAATGGGAAATTAGCATATTGGAAGGGTGGGGGAGAGGAACCACTGATGTTTTTCATAACCGATTTTGAACAGTGATTTCACTGTCGAACTCTGACATGAACATCTTTGATTAAAAATAAAAACCAAGGATGAGAGAAGAAAAAAAATAATAAAATAAAAATACTGAAATATAAAAACCAATTTTTAAAAAATCAGTACATATTAAGGGGAAATTAAAAAATGATAAAGCCAAAACTTTTAAAAAGCAGCTTTTGTGCATGCAAACAATATGTGGGAAGTAGAATAGTATCCACAGCAACAACAACAACAAAACTCCATAAAATATTTAGGAATAACCTTAACACGAAATGTGCAAGATTTCTGTGAAGACGCCCTCTACTGAAGGACATGAAGGAATTTCTGAATGAAGAGACACATCTTATTCTTAAGTAGGATGATTCGATATTGTAGAGGTGTCAGGTGTCTTTAAATTCACTGCAATCTCAATCAGAATTCCAATGAAATGATTTTATGGCTCATTTGTGAGAATACTATAAAAATATGTGAGCCAGATTTTAAAGTGTTTTTAAAAGCTGCAGAAAATTAAAACGTATAGGCACTGTAAACAAAAGGCCAACAGAACCAAACAGTATAAAAAATCAGCCCAAGTATATGATAAATAGCATATGATGAAGGTGGCCTTTCTATTAAACACGTGTATGTATTTGGGTAAAAGAAAAAATAGATTCTGCAAGCAACTGGCTAGCCATTATATAGACCCCTCCTTATATAGGAAAGGATCTATACAATGGTCCCCCCCCTCATTTTCTTATATGTACATATACCCCAGCTACATTAAAGATTTAAAGTGAAAAATAAATATAAAATCCATTAAATAAACGGAACGAACCTTCAAATGTAGCCAAGTTGCCATGCTGGAGCCATGAACATCTCTCTCTCCATACTGCTTTAAATTATTTGTCTTGTTTCTTCTGTATCTTAAATATCTCTACACTCTCTCTCCGGTCTGTCTCCACCATTGCGTAGGCCTCTAGTGTGTCCTCCTTGGATCAGTGCAACAGGATCCCAACTGGTGTTTCTTCTTCTAATGCAGTCTGAATCCGGTCCATTTTTCATGGAGTAATATTTCTAAAACCCAGATGTGGTCCTTTCAATCCCACGTTTAACACCCTTCCGCGACCCCTTCTGCACTGCTCTCAGGACCAAGTCCCGTGCCTCATCTTGGGTTGTGAGGTCCTTCGTGACATGGCTCTTTCTTACACTGACATCTCTCCTGCTATCTCTGTATTATTCCAAAAATAGGGAACTTTTCGTTTTCAGAACTTGCCAACCTTTTTCCTCCCAAACCTCTACACGTATTGTTCTATCCAGAACATTTTTCTCTCCTCTTCGTCCCTCTCATTTTCAGGTCTGAGAGCCTTCTGTGACTCCCTCCTGATATTGTGGGCTCTTAATGAGAGCATGTTGTTTAATCGACCATTTCCCCCACAGGACATAAGTTTTGTGAGAGCAGAGATCATATCTGTCTTGTTCATCTTTAAATCCCCTAGAATTTAGCATTATACCTAGAACACACTAGGCACTCAGGAAGTATTTGGGCTTGTAGTAAATCAGTTCTTCATGATTAAAGAAATAGCCCCAACTCACATGGTATAAAATGGATGATAACAGCAAACAGCAACTTGTACCAGTTGACATCAATAAAGCCATGTGCTATGCCTGAGTCAGCGCCCTATGGGCATTTCCAAAATTAGAAATTCCCACTGCAGGCCAGTCTCTTCTGACTTCTGAGTATTTTTAACAGTGCCAGCTTCTCCGAGTCTGACTCACTAAGGTTTGGGGCTGGAACTAGAATTCCCAAATGAGGAAGAAAATCCCACCTATTATCTTGCTTCCTTCCAGCTTCCAGGTTCTTCAGTTGAAGTCACCACAGACTAATCGAGCAGACTTTCCTGAAGTTTTTACAGTGGAAATGGGATCTTAAGAGAGAAATTTTGAAAATATTTTCCTCTGTTTACCTGTGTAAGTAGCAGTTTATTTCCTCAAGGTTGTGTGGTTGATGAAAATTCTGCCCTATGTAGTATAAATGGGTGGGGTCGAGTGAGTTGTCCGCTGGATGAAATACCTCCTGAGGGCAAGGACAGTCGGGCCTGTGCACAAGTGCATCCCTTACGTGCTCTCAGTAGTAATGTAGGGAGGAGGCAAGAGAATTAAAAAGTTAAATCAAGCTGCATTCAGAGATTGCAAAATGCCGATCAACCCTGCAGCCAGATCACAAGGACACCTGCAGAACAAAGGAAGATTTCTGCTGGGATTGCTAATAGACCATTTTCCTACACCCTGAAGGGAAAACAGGAAAAACAGAGCACATTACACAAAATAAAATCATTCATTCCCTATGGTTAAAACCCTGGGGAAGCTATGGATCAAGGTGGGAACTGCCAGCAGGCCTTTCACACTACATATTCTTACCTTTTCATGCTACATACTCTTATCCTTTCTCACTGTATGCCCATATCAAAGGAACTAAGAATGATATATCAGCTGGATTCCCCAACACTTTGGGCTTTTTGTCTTGCCTTGGCTTTTCGTCTTTGCTTTCTCTTGTCTTTGCTTTTCCCCTTCTCTAATAAACTTTCCTCTTGACTCTAACTTTGGTGGGCAGTTTGAATTCTTTCTTGTGCTCAGCAAAGAGCTCTCTCTCGGCCAGGGCTGGAGTGCCCCCAGCTGAGGGATTCGCCCCGCCCTGCATCAGTAAGGCTGGCTGAAATGCCCAGGATTGCAGGGGTCCTTTGTCTCAACTGTAAAATTAATCTGGTGTTCTTTCAATTCCAGTTGGTCTAGTGTGGCTTCAACTAGCTATAAATAAGATTCTTAATACACTTAAGAATCGTAAGATAGCAAAGCTGACAATGAATAGGAACGAAATAACATTAAGTCCCTCAGCATTCATGCGCTACTTCTGGCAAAAGGTAAAGCGTCTATGAGGAGCTAGCTGTTTCTTCCCCCCCACCCCCAAAAAAGTTAAAAATAGAACAAAGAAAATCATTAACCTAGTATGTGAGGATCACAGCATAGAATGGTTTTCCTGTCAAATTTTTACCCCTTCGGATTTTAGTCTGGTGTCTGGAAGAGTTAGAAGGAGAGTTCTTTCTTGCAAAAGTGTTTCAACTGGGTTTAGAATTTAAAACTAACTTCAACCAAAGAAGGAGGGTAGGCAGCCAAGTTCAACAGGCCTATATTGATCTGGCCTGCAAAGCAGCAGCCATGATGACCCATGAGAGCAGGCAGTGAAGGGAGTCACATTTGCTTCTCAGCTCTCCAGAGAAGGGGCGCTTATTCTCCTAGGTGTGGAGCATCTGCCTCCGAGAAGGCCATCCCTCCAGCCTGATTCATGGCTTAGTCCCGTATAGTGAAAAGTTCATTTAGCATCTTGGAGACAAAGATAGGAGTTCTAATGGACTAAATGGAATGAAATGCAGCAAGCAAGCCATTCATGGGCCATTTCCTCCAAAGCCAAAAATTTCATCATAAACAATTTTGCAGAAGATGGGTTGGGAAAGAATAACTGATGATCGTAGTTTTGAATTTTGTAAAAAATGTCTCCATTTTCTATGACAAGATCATTATTAATTCCCACCAAGCTGGAAGGACTCTGGCTCACAGATCAGTTGTGTAACCTTAAGAGGCTGAGTTTATACTCTTCTAACCAACATATTGGAGCCAACCTTTGTTTCCACTTGGAAACCCTAACCGCCCCGAGCAAACACCGGTTATCCCACAAATAATTTTTTAGGAATTGGTTATACCACAGGATCTTTGGTAAACTAGAAATGCTTAGCAGTTCCTTGTCGTGCTGAGTGGGTTTTTTTTTTCCTCAAATACAGAAAATACACCGAACTTAACTTTTTTCCTTCACTAGACAAAAACATGGAAGATATAAAATCACTATCTTCCTTTAGACACCATTCTAGACAGTTGTTTTGACTGCTCAGCACCCATTCTCCATTTCTAATAATGCTCAAGTCCTTTCCCCATTGAATATGATTTTGGTGGGAAGGAATCCTGGTGACCTCTCAAACTGTCGAAGCTAAAGGGACAGAGCCGTGCCATCTGATATAGTAGCCACTGGCCACATGTAACTATTGAGAACTTAAAATGTATCTAGGAACAGAATATTTGTTTATCTATATTTTATTTTAAATTTTAAAAAGTTCGACATTTATACAATCCATGAAGTGATCTAGCACCTACCTGGCATCACAACCATTACAATAATACTGACTGTATGCCCTATGCTGTACTCTATATCCCCGTGTTTTGTAATTTCTAATTTGTACACCTTTTTTACCACGTCCCCCAACCTCCCTCTCTCTAGCAATCACCAGTTTGTTCTCTGTGAGTCTGTTTTCATTTAGTTTGCTCATTTCTTTTGTTCCTGAGACTCCGCATATAAGTGAAATCATACGTTAATCTTTCTCTGACTTATTTCACCCACCATAACACCCTTTAGGTCCATCCATGTCATTACAAATGGTAAGATTTCATTTTTTAAATAGCTGAGTAATATTCCGTTGCATACACGTATCATAACATCTTTATCCACTCTATCGATGGGCACCTAGGTTGCTTTAACTTTAGTTAACTTATTTAAATTTAAAACTGATGCACAATTCAGTTTTTGAAAAATTAAGTATGTTTGAAACAATTTGAGTAAGTGAATCTACTTTTTCAACTAAATTTTATGTACATACAATTAACTTCTTACAGTTCAAGTATTTCCATTGAAAATTCAGCTTCCAAATTAAGACACGTTATAAATGTAAAATATACTCTGGATTTTGGAGAGAACCTGTAAAATATCTTATTGATACTTTTTTATGTTGGGTACATGTTGAAATGATAATATTTGGATATATTAGGTTAAATAAAATACATTGTTAAAATTAACTCCACATGTTGCTTTTTACTTTTTTTTTAATGTGACACTAGAAATTATAAAATCACTCATGTGGCTTGCTTATATTTCTCTTCGCTCTTCCTGTTCCAGGACAGGCTGGGGTGGATCTATAATCTGAGTTTGGCCAACCAAATTCTCCTCAGAGCCTGGGCAAGCAAGGCAAGGACAGAGAACTGGTGGGCAGGTCAAAGGGAGGTAAGCAACTGCAGGAGTCACTTTCTCTACCTGTGTCTTGGTGAGATATTCCAGACTTCCTTAGTCTAGGGGTCCTCAACCCCTGAGCTGTAGACCGGTACTGGTCCATTGCCTGTTAGGAACCAGGCCACACAGTAGGAAGTGAGCGGCAGGTGAGCGAGCTAGCAAAGCTCTCCAGCGTTAGCATCACCGCCTCAGCTCCACCTCAGATCATCAGGCATTAGATTCTCATAGGAGCTCCGGTCCCCAATGCCAAAATGGTTGGGGACCACTGCCTTAGTCTTCTAATTCTACCTAACAGATTCCTTTTTGCTCACATTAGCCTGTCTCTTCCTGGTGTTTGCAATCAAACATCCTAACAGACCTCATCATGATTTGCCAGGAAGTGAGTCTCTACCCTCGACCCTTTATTTCATTAGAATCCCTGGTATATCTTGTTACCATCAAAGTCACATCAGGGCTGGGACTGGGGCACTGGCAGAAACAGCTGAGTCTGTATCAAGCTCCTTGAAGAGTGTGATGCTCAGCCAGGGTTGTGAAGCATGGCTTTAGGCCTACTTGTAAGCATCTGCATGACTAGTGAGTAAACATGAGCCTATGCTGCCATATTTCTGATACAGATGTTAAGCAAACTTCCTGGGAGCCCTGCCCTTCAGCTGGAGGAATTCCATTCATGCACTCAACAAATATTTATTGAGCACCAATTATTTACACTCTAGGCATTGTACTAGACACTAAGGATATAGCAGTGAGCAAAATCGACAAAAACACCTCTCTGCTAAAGTATACTTTTTAGTGGGGGAGAGGGGATAATAAGCCAAATGAAAGAGAATATAGAGTATGTTTCCTTCTGAAAGTTCTAAGAAGAAAACCAAACCAGGGAAGGGGATAAGGAACGTTTGTATGCGTGTGCTGAAAAGGCATAGAAATTTAGTTGGGGCGATCACAGAAGGAACCCTTAGAATGTTATATTTGCAGGAAAGGAGCAAGCCTTGAGAATATGAAGTGGGGGGAGGGGAGTTTTCTAGCAAACAGAAAAGCAAGTGTAAAGACCCTGAGGTAGGACTTTGGCCTCAGAGTTGCCGTGAAGTTGCTTAATTAGGCCACCTCTAACTTGTGAGGCCGAGGGCTACTCAAAGCTTCTGGATGCTGGGAGTGGCCACTGAGGAGCAGGGGGCAGGACCACGGGGAGGAGGATGTTGAGGTCCGCTCTGCTCGTGGACTTGGTGAGTCTGTTGTCGTAATGACACGCTCTACCGTGTATGCTTTGGTGTGCCATTTTGAAACTTGAATCCACTCTTGTCAGTTTGAGAGATCTCAAGAGACCAGATGCCACCATGGCTGGAAGGCTATCCTACTGGACCCCAAATGATCCTTGCTGGAAAGGGAATCAACCTCTCACTGGAGGCTCTGTGTCATTCGAACCAGCTGACCAAGAGCTGGGGACTTCCTCGGTTCCCTAGTTAGGAACACCCACCTGATTTCCAGGGTACTTTTAATCCTGAATGCACATGAGGATGTGGATCTAAGGCCCACTCTGTCTGTCCAAGTGGACTGGGCATATGTGCCTAAGGACAGCCCGTTAACAATTGGGTTTTGATTTTTTTTTATTCATGCAAATAACCAAAAGTCAAACTAGAGTAGCCTAATTTTCCAGGACGAGGGGGAGGGCTCTCCCATCTTCACAGTGAGGAAAGGTTTGAATCGATAGACCCCATGAGAAAATCCAGGAAGCCTTTTTCTGGCACTTTTTTTTTCCCATAAGAATGCCTTGTTTTAATAGGAAACAATAAATATGGTTTCTAACTTAAAAAAATCTGGTATTAGAGGAACAGCAGAAGGCCAACGTGGCTGGTGTGGAGTAAGGAAAAAGAATGGTGGAAATTGCAGGCAGAGAGGTAAGGTGCTGGGGAGAGGAGGCATCTGCAGTCAACCATTTAAAAAGTGAAACATGGCTCTTCACCTGGGTGGTATTAGCCATCAACCCAACAGGCTCAGGAGTGCTGGTGAAGGCCTTCTGGAGACCCTGTCCACAGCCATTCTCCATTTGACCAATACTTACTTAGGGTGTCCTGAGAGAGGGACCACTCCAGATAATCACCCTTTGTTTGTTCACATATTTTTGGGTGAAGATGAAGCAGAGGAAAGATCTTTTTTCACAGAGCTTATAGCAACCACACTCTGACACTAGGATGTACAAGGATTTTCAGGATAAACTCAATCACCCCAGTGAGAAAGAGATACTGAAAAAAAAAAAAAGGGAAATAAAAATATTGTGGCACGATCATAAACCCTAAGTGTTCTTTGTCTGCCTTGAGTTAAGTGAGGACACTTCCCAGAATCCTGTTTATTTGGAAAATTGGAAAATTCCAACAATCACCAAGAGTGGTTTTGTTTTTCTTAGGCATCTGACTTCTCTTTGTACCTAGAGCCCATTATAGCACTCTTGACTGATTAGATTGGATTAGACATCAGAAAAATTTACAAAAGTAAATATGCATTCTCCTGGATTGTTAAATACTCAAACTATCTCATCAACTGATTTGTTCAAACTTCTGTGCACCCCTTGCTGCTGGGGCACTGATGTCCTGTCTGAGCCCCAGTTTTCTCCAGCTATTTGTACCCCATTCTAGGTCTACGGTCCCATCTCTTCAGCGGCTGGGTCTCAGGCTTTCTGCTCTGTTCTCTTCGTAGACCTATAAATAAATGCTTTGTCATCTCACCAAATGCAAATCAGGGATCAGGAGACCATCCATGCTCATCATTCATTCATTCATTCGTACTTCTATTGAGTGCATACTAGAGCTCAGACATGCTCCAGGGACTGAGGAGACCCTCACTACACACAAAAAAAGTGAAATAAGTGACTGTAGAAGGGAAAAGTGGGGCTTACACTCTAGTGAGAAGACAGACCATAAATAAGTAGATAAGGCATATGTCAAATGGTAACTGCTATGAAAAAAAAAAGGATGGCAGGTAAAGAGGTGGAGAATGATGAAGCATGTGGTGCTAGTTTAGAACAAGTGGTCAAGAAAGGACACTTTGATAAGGTGACCTTTGAGCAGGCTTCTGGAAATCTTAGGGTAGATCTTTTCAGGTAGCAAAAACAGTGAGAACCAAACCTGAGTATGATTGACTGTTGGAACGGGAGCCAGGAAGCCATGATGGAGGGAGTGAGCCAGGGGGATGAGCTCAGAGAAGTGTCAGGGACACGCTCAGATGGCAAACTCTGTCAGTCAAGGCAAGGACTGTGGATTTTATTATGAGACGGAAACCACTGCAACACTTTGAAAGGGTCATGCTGGCTGCTGTGAGGAAAGACTAGAAACCCAGTGAGGAGACTGCAACAGTAATCCAGGCAAAAGAAATGAAGAAATACATGCCACAGACAAACACTGTCCCATGGGCTAACAGTAGGTCCACTGATTGGTTTGCACCCCTTTTACTTCTTTGGGGAGGGATTATGAAGTGCCAGTGAAAAAGCGAAGCCTGGCCAAGGTTACCTGGCTCTATTGAAAGAGCATTTGTTCACAGAAAACATTTTCTTAAATAGATTTCACTCTATAACATCCTTTATTTAGGATCTTCATTAATTTGAATCCCTTCAGAAGCCTGGATAAGAAGTATCTACCTTCTGAACTTCTCAGACTGTTGTAGCTTAAAGAGTGAGAAAAGTGTTATTCGCAAGCCTAACGTAACCTATGAAAGTACCTAATGCTGCTCTTGGACTTTGCTGCTTTCACCCACTTCAGTTCTCATGGACGGAACGTGAGCAGGCCAAGAGGTCTAAGTAGGCCGTAGTTGTGGGAAGAGCTGGGTGATGTAGATCTCAGGGAAGCCTTTGTAAAGAACCACAGGTTGATGAGGAAATCGGTTCCTCCATGATCAGTTGACTTTTCTATTATGTATTCTCAAAGGTTAAAATGTCCACTACCAAAGAGAACCCCCTGGAAAAGCACTGCCACGCCTTCCATGACTGCTTTGTGCGGAAGCACTTGGTAACTTCCTGTTGGACAGCTCTCCCTGCTGCTGACCACACGTACATCTTGGGGAGTTCTTGGTGGAAAAAGCCCTCACTGGTGAGTTCTCGCCTTCCTTCCTTCCCGCCATGTAGGTATTATAAAGGGCAACTTCTTATTTTAAAACCATGTGGTTTCAAAAGCATGGCGAACCTGACTGACTGTCCCTGGTGGGCTGCTGCATAAGCGACGTCTGCTGACAGCCTGAGGAGATCCCAGAGATGGCTGCGAGTGGCCTACAGTCAGTCCAGTCGTTCATGTGACGGAGCCTAAGGGTCTCAATCTTATTTTATCCTTTGGAGATTAGAATTTTCCCTTTCAAAACAACCCTTACTATGGCTCTTCACCTGGGTGGTATTAGCCATCGACCCATTTTATCTGAATAAATTAAGGGTGGAGGAGAGAAGTAGAAATGGACCACATGGAGTGACTTGCCTTAGGGATGGCTGTGTATATGACAGACACAGATAAAAATAGATGAATTGAAACAACCACCAGTTTTAGCCAGTTTTCCTCAAAGGCAGAATTATCACAAAAATAAGTATCAGATATAACCTTTAATTCTAATTGTCCAGAAACAACCTGATTTCTTCTAAGTCACAACTTTTAAAACTAGTAATAGGGTTAAATTGATTGGGTTATAAGATTTTGTTCACTTTAAATAAGAATACCTTATAAAGTACAATATTGTGGTTCACAAAAATCAAGGTGCTTCTATGTGGCTTCAGTGAGTGTCACAACCAACCCTCAGTAGGTAAGGGTTCTCTAGGTTTAAAAGTTAATCCCAATGTTTAGAAAGAAAAATGAGGTGCAGAGAGGTTAAGGGCTCAAAGGCAAATGTTTAACTGGGCCAAATGACATACAAGGAATCAGAACCCAGGTCTTTGTCAAATGTCTGCTCCCCATCCCCATTCCAAGATGACATTTAAATAATGGTTGAAATAATCTCATGACCTTAATAAATTTATATGATATGTATGGTTTCTAATAAAACGTTTTTTATCGTTTTTAGAAATAAAAATACTTTTATTTGAAAATTTAAATTTACCAGTTATTATTCCAATGGCATCCACACTAAAAAGGTAACAAGAAATAAGTAAAATTAATTATATATTTCATTTAATTCAAAATATCCAAATTTTATTTCAACATGTAATCAATATTTTAAAAGTATTAATAAAGTAAATATTAATAAAAATATTCTTTTCATAACTAAGTCTTCAAAATTTGGTGTGTATTTTATACTTTATTTCTTAATTGAGATGCTTAAATTTTCATTCAGAATACTTGCTCTGTATTTAAATTTCATAAAATTTACATTTGAAAGTCAATTCACATACCCAAGTTATGCCAAGCATACTTAAAAGTTTTCCAGTGATTGAGTTGAGAATATCAATCTCTTTTCAAAATTAAATAACTTTCTTGTATCTTAAACTATCCACTGTCTCATGAACATATAGATTATTAAACTTTTTCTTAATTACATTTTCTCATAATATGCCATATTTTCTAGGAAACTTTAAACTGCATTCAGATTTTTGTATAAATGCTGTTGAATTATGAAGACACTTAATATTTGAATTCTAAAATGACCCAGTCATGCATCTTCCTCCAATGAAAACATAACTGCAATGTGTTAAACCAACCCCTAAAATCAATGTTAAAAAGGAGATCCCACTCTATTTTTTTACAAAGTAATGATTAAATATTCCTTGAGTATTTATTTAAATGGAACAATTCATGAGAATTAAAAAGTGAAAATATTTTTATGACTATGCTTTAGCTCTCCAATTTATTATCTTTACTAGTTTAGTGTTTAAAAAATCATAAATACTTAGATATTAGACTGAATGACAACAGCTATAGAATGTATTTAACTTAAACCCGTGTGACCCTTGAAATTATAAAACCCACTGATCAAAACAGATGCTCAAATTGCTGCAAAAATAGAATGAGACTCCAATGCTCATGAAGTCTGTCTAAAGGTGAGACGGTGTCAGACGTGTGGCCCTCAAGCTTCTGGCTTGGTCTGCAAGCTCCAGCTTTACGATTATTGAGAGGTGGACTTCGTCAGGCCCATCTGCTATGCGCAAAACTCGCGTTAGGGCATACCTAGAAAAACAGAAAGAACACGGATGGCAGGAGTTATCAGAGAGAAACATGATACGTTAACGTCAGTCATTCTGATTCTAAGCCAAAACTATTAATTTTTGAAATCTCGCCAAGGCAGTGATAAGAAAAAGAGAGCACAGAGCAAATCAAGGAAAAAGCCCAAGGACAACTGAAATGCCATTTAAAAAATTCTCACCTTGGAAAGTGGACTCTTAAAGGGCACCGTGCAGTGGGCTTAATCTCAGTCTTGATTTGCTATAGGTTACTAGGAGTTGCTAGAGCTAAGAGATCTCTTAGGTAAGCCACAAGCAGTGAAGTATAAATATATAATACTTATATACTATAATTATATAGTACTATATATTTAGTTCTTTCTTCAGGTGAAAGATTGATGGGGCCCACCTCCATCACCTCCAGTGTGATAGAGACGGTGGCATTGTGACTGTGAGGTAATGGGCATGGACAGTTTTCCTTCTTGACTCCTAGCAACCAGAATCCAGACATGAGATGGTCGTTGACATGCACTGCTGCAAAATGGGCTGAGATCATCCTAAGTACATACCTAACCCTGGCTCTGGGTTCCTTGTGGCCATCTCTGTCTCCTCTTCTTCCTGGTTCCCCATCACAAGCAGTGAAGTATAAATATATAATACTTATATACTATAATTATATAGTACTATATATTTAGTTCTTTCTTCAGGTGAAAGATTGATGGGGCCCACCTCCATCACCTCCAGTGTGATAGAGACGGTGGCATTGTGACTGAGGTAATGGGCATGGACAGTTTTCCTTCTTGACTCCTAGCAACCAGAATCCAGACATGAGATGGTCGTTGACATGCACTGCTGCAAAATGGGCTGAGATCATCCTAAGTACATACCTAACCCTGGCTCTGGGTTCCTTGTGGCCATCTCTGTCTCCTCTTCTTCCTGGTTCCCCATGTTATTTCTTCTACCCGGGAACCCAGTGTAAAAGTTAACATAATTGAATGAAATGGTAATTGTAATCATAAGAGCAACTATCTATTGGTACTGGGCTCTATACTAAAGTACCTATACTACAGTTGACCCTTGAACAACATGGGGGTTAGGGCACCGATATTCCATGCAGCTGAAAATCTGCATATAACTAGATCTTTATTTGGCCTTCAATTTATACTTTAATGTAAGTTGGTATCTTTATTTTCTTCTTAGTGTCAAGGCATCTGTAGATTTTTAACTCCAAGCCTATCACATTTAGATAGTTATTACATGGCAGCTACTCACATGTGAGCCAGAGGGTAATCCTGGGAAACACCTGCGCCTCCACACACCTGGATGGCCTGGTCAATAATTCTGCAGACGGCCCGGGGGTTAGCCACTTTAATCATTGCGATCTACAAAAGCAAGGTACCAAAAGAATGTTCCTTTCTTCAATAATACACAATGTGGCAGAATTTGATATAATCTGTATTTTCTTTGTGAAATGAAACAAGGGAACTTTCCCACATGCGTTCACCACAAAAACAGGATTTCTGATGAAAGCCAACAAAGACATCCGCTGTCATGCAGCTAATTGCCATATTTCAGTTAATATGGACCTTCTGGAAAGAGATATCTCTTCCAAATCACATTCTATTAATTTATTTATAATTTTCCTATTTCCAAAAGAATTTCAGGCAGCTGATAAATTACATTCATCATCTTAGGGGGTCATAAAAAGAGTTCAAGAGTCTTCACTGATCAGTTTTCTCTAAGCAATTTTAATAGCTTTTAGAATTAAATGATCATGTTCTTATTCCATATAAGCCAGAAACATAAAATGGCAAGGGGCAAGAGGTACCTTTTATGATACATTTGCTATGTGTCAGCACAGTGCTGTGCATTCTATATCATCTTGTTCACTCCACTAGAACCCTAGGCAGAAAGGTTACTTGGCCCAATGTCACAAGGCTAGCAGAAAGTGACACACTGAGTACAATACCAGGTTTGTATAAAGTCTAGGATTTCCCTAATCTCACTTGCTGTATCTCAAAAATGAAGATATTTGGCATCCTGAAAATCATTTGCAAAGCAGCTCAGTGAAAGGAAAACTAGCAAGTGCTATACATTTATAACTTTAAACCAAAATCACATAGAAGCTTCCCAAATTCTGAGTGCTAGGAAGGTACCACGAGACCTGAAATACCCAGTGAGTAGAGAAACTGGAGAAGGCTTCGCAGGCAGTGGTCCAAGGGGCCTCACCTCCTTCCTAGCGCCAGCAACGCCCAGAGTGTCAATGCTGTGGGCAGCTTTCAAGGTCAACAAGCGGATCTCTTCAATGGCAATGCGGCTTTCAGCAATCCAGTGAGCCACAACCTCCTGCAGAGTAACAAAAACAGCAAAAAGGAAGGGATAAGCTGGCGTCCCGGGTCATGTAACACAGCTTTGTAGTTTAGTGAAAACTACACATGTCTGTGTGCGTGGGTCCCAAGGCTCAGATCCGAAGTGAGGAGATGCCACTCCAGCCTCAGCTCCAGGCCCATCCTCTCACCCGGCGTCTCCCAGAGCTCCGCATGTGATTTATAGAGTACCTGCACAGATTAAGATAATGGTACTTTGAATGACTTCCAGGAAAGTGGAAGAGATGCACTTTCCCCTATTCCTCTTGCTAAGTACAACTAAAAACCTGGATATTATTTATTACACAAACCTAAGAAGACTCTGAAAGGTGCAGAGAATGCAGACCTGCTAGGGATTTGCAGACTAAAAGAACAATTTGGTGGTGACTTCCCTGGGTTTTCTTTTTGCCTCATATATCCCAGACTTAAAGCTGAAGATGCCAGCAACCTAGAAATGCCAATGAGCACAGACAACAATCAAACAAAAAATTAGCCCCGACAAAAGCCTACTCTCTTTAGCTAATGGATTGTGTAGGGGCAGCCTAGCAAGACAGAAAGCTTCTATAGAATAATGACCCTACCCAAGCCAACATCATAGAAAAACTTTGGCCCTTTTCCTATTCATGCCAGCATAGATTTCTACCCTCATCAGTGCTGTAATGAGGTACCTCAATGCCCCTGCCAGAGTGGGATCAGAGAATGCCAAGTGAAGAGCTAGTCCAGCAATAAGCTACATTCTCCCTGTGGTGTCAGTAGAGACCATATGGGGATCCTGGATTTCCATCCCACCAGGCAATAAGAATGCACTCTTCTTTTCAGGTATCAGTGGAAGTTGAATAGGAACTTGGACTTCTACCTCTGCCTGGCAGCAATGAGGTAGTGTAACCCCATCTTATAACAGAATGGTGTCTCAGAAAGCCAGCTAAAATAGATTTATACATCCTAATATCTCTGGTGAATATAGATGTAAAACTCCTCAACAAAATATTAGCAAACCAAATTCTGCAATACACCATGATCAAGTGGCATTTTTTTTCCTGAGATGCAAAACTGGTTCAATATCTACAAATCAATTAATGTGATACACCACATAAACAAAATGAAGGATAAAAATCATATGATCATATCAAGAAATGCAGGAAAAGCATTTGACAAAATCCAACAACCATTTATGATTAAAACTCTCAGCAAAGTGGGGATAGAGGGAACATACCTTAACATAATAAAGGCCATATATGGCACATCCACAGATAATATCATACACAATGGTGAAAAGCTGAAAGCTTTTTCTTAACATCATGAACAAGATAAAGATGTCCACTTTAACCACTTTTATTAAATATAGTATTGGAAATCCTACCCACAGCATTCAAACAAGAAAAACAACTAAAAGGCATCCAACTTGGAAAGGAAGAAGTAAAACTGTCAGTAGTTGCAGATTACATGATACAATATATTGAGTACCCTAAAGACTGTACCAAAAAACTATTAGAACTAATAAATGAATGCAGTAAAGTAGCAGGATACAAAATTAGCATTCAGAAATAGGTTGTATTTTTGTACACCGATAAGAAACTATCCTTAAGAGAAATTAAGAAAACAATCCCACTTACAATTTCATCAAAAAGAATAAAACACACAGGAATAAATTTAACCCACGAGGTAAAAGATCTGGAAAACTATAAGACAATGAAGAAAGAAATCAAAAAAATGGAAGGCTATACTGTGCTCATGGATAGGAAGAATCAACATTGTTAAAATGTCCATACTACCCAAAGAATCTACAGATTCAGTACAATCCCTATCAAATTACCAATGGCATTTTCCATAGAACTAGAACAAATAATCCTAAAATTTATATGAACCACAAAAGATCCCATATAGCCAAAGCAATCTTAAGAAAGAACAACAAAGTTGGAGGTATCAGGCTATACTACAAGGCTATTGTAATCAAAACAGCATGGTACTGGCATAAAAATAGACACAGAGATCAATGGAACAGAATAGAGAGCCCAGAAATAAACCCATGCCTATACGGTCAATTACTCTAAGACAAAAGAGGCAAGAGTATAAATGGGGTAAAGACAGTCTCTTCCATAAATGGTATTGAGAAAAGAATAAACTCGAAATGAATTAAGGACTTAAATGTAAGACCCGAAACCATAAACCTCCTAGGAATAAACACAGGCAGTAAACTCTCTGACATTGCTCCTAGTAATATTATTCGTGATATATCTCCTTGGGCAAGGGAAACAAAAGAAAAACTAAACAAATGGGAGTATATCAATAAAAAGGTTTTGCACAGCAAAGGAAACCATCAACAAAATGAAAAGACAACCTACTGAATAGGAGGAGATATTCACCAGTGATGCAGGGGTTAATGACCAATATATATAAAGAACTCATACAACTTAACACCAAAACAAACAAACAAACAAACAAACAAACAAAAAACCCTTAAATAATCCGATTAAAAATTGGGCAGGGGAACTGAATAGACATTTCTCCAAAGAAGACATACAGACACATGAGAAAGATGATCAGCATCACTAATCATCAGAGAAATGCCAATTAAAACCACAATGAGATTATCATCTCACACGGGTCAGAATGGCTATCAATAAATCAGCAAACAAAAAGTGATGAGGATGTGGATAAAAGAGAATCCCCATGCACTGTTAGTAGGATTGCAAATTGGTGCTGCCAGTATGGAAAACAGTATGGAGGTTCCTCAAAAAATTAAAAGTAGAACTACCACATGACCCAGCAATTCCACTTCTGAGTATTTATGAAGAAATCTAAAACATTAATCGAAAAGTTATATGCATCCGTATGTTCATTGCTGCAGTATTTGCAATAGCCAAGTTATGGAAACAACCTAAGTGTCCATCAGGAGACAACTGGATAAAGAAATTTGGTTCATATATACGATGGAATATTAGTCATAAAAAAAATGAAATCTTTCCTTTTGAGACAACATGGATGGACCTAGAGGGTACTATGCTAAGCGAAATAAGTCAGACAAAGACAAATACCAAATGATTTTACTTATATGTAGAATCTAAAAAACAAAATAAATGAACAAACAAAACAGAAACAGACTCACAGATACGGAGAACAGACTGATCGGCTGCGATGTGGGAGGAGGGTTGGGGGACTGAGTAAAGGCAGTAAGAATTACAATTGGCAGTTACAAAATAGTCTCAGGGATATAAAGTACAACATAGGGTAATATTGTAATAACTATGCACGGTGCTAGGGGGGTGTAAGACTTTTTGGGGGGATCACTTTGTAAGTTATATACTGTATACCTGAAACATAATATTAAATGTCAATTGTAATTGGAAAAAAAAATTAAAATATAGTAAAAAAATCATTTTGTAAAGTCAATATCACCCCGACACCAAAACCAGATACAGTACAAAACTACTAACCAATATTCCTCATGAATACACATGAAAAAATCCTTAACAAATTACTATGCAGTAGAATTCAGCAATCTATAAAAAGAATTACACACCACGAGAAAGTGGGATTTATTCCAAGGATACAAAGTTGGTATGGTATCTGAAAATCAATTAATGTACTCCACCATATTAACAGGCTAAAGAAGAAAAAAAATCACATGGTTATATAAATCAATGCAGAAAAATCATTTGATAACACAATCTTCATTCATTATAAAAAAACTCTCAGAACACTAGTTATAGGGGGAACTCAACTTGACAAAGAATATCTACCAAAAACCTACAACTAACATCATATTTAATGTTCCCCTAAGACTGGGAACAAGGCCAAGATATTTGCTCTCACCACTTGTATTCTACATAGTGCTGGGCATTCTAGCCAGTGCAATGAGGCATGAAAAGGAAATAAAATGTATATATACCTATATACAGAAAGAAAGAAAGAAAGAAAACTTTCCTTTTTTGCAGATGGCATAACTGTCTATATAAAACCCCAATTTATGAAGAAAAACTAGAATAAGTGAGCTCAGCAAAGTCGCAGGATACAATATAAACATACAAAAACCAATTATATTTTTACATACAGATAATGAACGCATAGACAGTAAAATTATAAGCACTATCATTTATAATCATTCATATTTGTATGTAAATATTTGTATGTAAATATAACATGTATAGGACTCGTTTGTTGAAAGCTTCATATAGATAATAAATCAAAGAAAGGCTGAATAAATAGAGAGGCATACTATGCTGGTGGATTAGAAAACACAACACAGTAAAGATGTCGGTTCTTCCCAGTTTAACACAATGCTTATAAAAATTCCAGCAAATTGTTTTGCAGATAACAACAAGATTATTCTAAAATTTATATGGAAAGGCCAAGGAACTAGAATAGCTAAAAAATTTTTGAAATAATAAAGTGACATGAATCAATCATCCTGATTTTAAGATTAATTATATAACTATAGTAATCAAAACTGTGTGGTCTTGGCAGAGGGACAAATGTAGATTGAGAGGACAGAACAGAGAACCCAGAAACAGACCCACACAAATATGCCTGACTGATTTTTGAGAAAGGTGTGAAAATGATTCAATTAAGGAAGGACGGCCCTTTCAACAAATGGTGCTGAAGCAGTTGGACGTCATAGGCAAGAAAATCTTCAGGAATAGGGCTAGGCAAAGCATTCTTAGACTTGACACTAAAAACATGATTCATAAAAAGAAAATTGACAAATTGAAGCTAATCAAAATGAAATACTTTTTACTCTGTGAAAGACTCTTTTAAAAGAATGAAAAGCTACAGAGTGGGAGAATATATTTGCAGATCACATATTTGGCCATGGATATTATCTAGAATATATGAAGAACTCTCACAGCTCAACGGTAAAAATGCAATCCGGGTAGAACATGGTCATAAGACATGAACTGAAGAGGACATAAGATGGCAAATAACACATGAAAAGATGTCAGCCATTAGGAAAATATAAGTTAAAACTAAATGAGATTAATACTATAAACCTAGCAGATGGCTAAAGTAAATATTGACAACACTATATGCTCGTGGGGATGTGGAGAAACGATAACTCATACACAGTTGGTGAAAATGAAAACTAGTAAAGCCATTCCGGAAAAGAATTTGGTGGTTTCTTAAACTAAACATACAACTACCATATGATCCAGCAATCGTATTCTTGGACATTTATCGTAGAGAAAAAAAGACTTATGTTCACATAAAAACCTATACACGAATGTTTATAGCAGCTTTATGTGTAACAGCTCCAAACCGGAAACAACCGATGTAGCCTTCAATAGGTAAATAGTTAAACTGCGGTAATCCATACCAAGGAATACTATTCAGCAATAAAAAGGAGTCAGCTGTTGAAACAATCTAGATGAATCTCTGAAAAATTATGCTGAGTGAAAAACCAATCCTCAAAGTTTACATACTGTATGATATCATTCTTGATATGATAAACTTATAAAAATGAACAGATTAAATATTGCCAGGGGTTCTTGGGGTGGGGATGAGGGTGAAGTGGGTTATAAAAGGACAACATGAGGGATGCTTGTGACAGGAATGTTCTGTAACAGTGACAACATCCCAGTTTTGATGTTGTACTATAATTTGGGAGGATGTCATCATTGGGGGAAACTGAGTAAAGGGCAGAAGGGATTGCTCTGTATCATCTCATATATGCATGTGAATATACAATGATCTCAAAATAAAAAATCGAAAAGACTGGTATTTGCTTCTCATTTGACTAAACAGTTTCCTTTCTCAGTTGGTCAGAACTTGGAAGAGAACGGGGCAGTGCGGCAGGGCTTAAAATGGGAGAATATGGATACCAAACCTACCATAAATCTCACAAGCAACCAAGCATTTAGAATTCAACACAAACTCAGGAGACAGAGCAAATGCTTCCAGTTGGCTGTACCAAGTTTTCTTGGTTCCCAATTCTAACCACAGAACTGGTGTTTATAGTGGAGAATAATATTTGTTAAGGATAAATTTGACTAGCAGACAATTACAATGCTCTGATCGAACCATATTATTAACCTTCCACAGCCATTTTTATGCTTGGTCATGTTGTTCTAGTACATTTCTTCAACAGTGGGTACTTGCTCAGTTTCCCTACCACTGTGATGTTCAGTGTGCTAGCCACTAATCACATGCGGCTATTGAGCATTTGAAATATACTTAGTCTGTACTGAGATGTACTATAGATATACTATAATGTACTAAATGTACTATAATGTACTAATGTACTAATATGTACTATAATGGACATATACACCCAATTTAGATGAATCAGTATTAAAAAATGTTAAAATACCTTAATATTTTTATATTGATTTCACGTTGAAATGATAACATTTTGGATCTATTGGACTAAATAAAAGGTATTAAAGTCAATTTCATCTATTTCTTTTTACTTTTTAAAAATGTAGTACTAGAAAATTTTAAATTGCATTTGTGCCTCACAATATATTTCTAATAGATGGCTCTGCCCTAGAGTTTGAAACAAGGCTCTGAATTAACAACTTCAAACAAGCCACCAGTGGTTAGTATTTTTTGATGGAACTAGGTGATTATAACTTCATGAACAGACTCAAAATGCATTTACTTCTTAGCTTTAGAATCAAGGAAACTTTTCAGCTGGGTTTTTACAGACCCTAGGGTCGCTGAAAAGCATTCAGTGCGTAGAAACTGAGTGCTCTAAGGGACTGCCAGATTATTTATTAAGACTGATCTATGATATAGAACTTTTAGCTTTAGTGCCTGGAATATTAGCTTTAGCAGCTGGAAGGAGTCTCCAAATTCAGGGAAAAGGAATGTTACTTTCACAAATTGGGCGTTGGGGCGGGGAGGGAGGGGAAAAGCTGGCCCAGATTTTTGTTTATGACATGCTCACACATCTCTTTTACTTCTGTCAGATCATTTTCTTTGTGCCAAATACAGGAAGTTTCCAGTAAAGGGAATCATATTTTGAAAAGCCCAGGCTTGTTCTGCTTGATAGATTAACTTTAGAAAGCGGGAGGGAAATTTTCCTCTAGTGTAGTATTAAAAAATCTCACGAAAGCAGCTCTTGAGCAGAGTGCTTTCGTGTGTTCAAGATGCCTGTCCATCAACCTTTCTGCGTCCTCCCTTCACCCTACTCCAGGGGTTGGATGCAATCTTGAAAAGAGAAAAGTGTAAGAAGTGATAGTTGAACTGCCATGAGCAGTCCTTTAGCATCTACTCCAGTAGCCATGTAGAACTGTATCCACGGCCACCCAAATTCACACCTTCTTACCTCCTCTCACAGTGCCCATGAAGCAGCTGAAACTTTGCCTTCACTATGTACTAAAAAGGGCTTCCCCACGAATTCTTCCCAGGTATATGTCATAGAGCAAGCTGTATTTTTCCATTAAAACAATGTTACAACTAAATCATAGATATGGCTAAATAATATGTCACAAAAAAAACAAACATAGCCTATAGAAATTTAAGATAAAAAAACATGCTGCAAAATTTTATAAGATGGTCACTAATGTACTTTACAAGGGGACCAATGCACTAAATGTACATGTCCAGCAAACACAAATACAATTTTATCACCACAGGTTTGCCCCAACACTAACATGTTAGCAACTGTAAGTATTAAATATTTAAAACTAATTTTTCTTGTCTTCTTAGAAGTTAGAGAGGGTTTGGGGGGGGATGATTGGAATATTTCACTTCTCTTAAAAAATTTTCCAAGGAAGTCTGAAATGATGACTTCTTCCCTCTTGAAAATATTCTCTAGTTTTGATTATATTGCCCACACTGTTTATTGTGCTTTGTAAACAACAGACTCAGTCATAAATAATTTATAGATGAGGATTCAAAAAATCATGAACATCCCACCAAATGCTGGTCCCATTTCTACTTTCATTTCTACAGTGACAAGGAACTTGCTTCCTCCTGAAGTAGTCCATTCTATATTTAGATCTCTCTTTTCACTGAGTTTTAGGCTGTTTTCCTATATCTCTACACTTACCTATCTGGAATTCCTTCCAGAAAGCCAAAAAACAAAGCAAATCCCTCTTCTTCTGACAGCCCTCTTGTTTCCACACAGAGTGCTAGTGTTCAGATTCTCTAGAGAATGAAAGTCAGAGAAAGTCGAAGGAATTGTGCACACTCTGTATGCTGAAGTGTAGAAGCCCTTTTGGAGTTACTTAATCTTGCAGATATATCTCTTTCAGCAGACTATATTTAAATACAGACATAAATATACTTTGTGGAAAAGAATCACCTTGTTTATGAACAGGAAATCTCTCTCTGACCAAGTAATGCTGTTTTGGTTCAAGGTTAGTGTAGTGCATTGGGCTATGATAAATTGAAATAAATAATCATCCTTACATGTGAATACAGTTTCTTCTGAAAGGCCACCCTTTGTGTTGCCCGTTCACACATGATCTGCAAAACGCGTTCTGCCAAACCTACTGTTCTCATATAGTGGTGGATTCTGCCAGGCCCAAGGTGGCGTTGGGCAATTTCGAATCCTCTTCCTTCACCTGTGAGAAAGAAAAGAACATGAAAGTGGCCACGGCCCAAGATTTTTGTTCTTTACACAAATCCGGACAAAGTGAAGAGCTACCTTCAATAAAAATGGCATTCCAATAGGAAAAAAGTTCTATAATCAGGTTCATTATACATTTATGGAATTTTCGCTTTCTGTTTTTTAAACCACCATAAGTCATTAAATCTTTTGATCAAATTTAAGAACTATCTCTAAGTACCTACTAGGCATAAGCTATTTATTAGTGCTGCAATGGTTAAGAAGGTAGATTAGACAGTCCCTACACTAGTTTAGAATCAAGAAGAGGGGACAAAGATGCTAGGGATAAGGGATAAGGAGGACAAAGAAAAGCAAAGGAGGGAGAGACTGTAAACTTAGCTCCTGGCAAGCATCAAGGGCTTGCTCAGTGGATGGGATAAGAAACACAAAAAAAGAGGTGTCATTTGAGATGTTCTCTGATGCTTGGGTAGGGTTCCAACAAGCAGGAGGGTGGTGTCATTCCAGGTATGTAGTATTCAAAGTAATATATGTTTCCAACATATATATAAGACTTGAATTCAAAAAGTATCAAGGTTTTCTTAAAACAAGTAGAGGCCTGAAGGTCATATTTTAGGAAAAAGTATGTTGCTCTGAATCGTGTAATTTTTGTATTTAGCTATGTTTTCAACTGATGCGATACAAAACCACAATCAAATACTTTAATAAAACATTGTTTCATGTAAGAAAATCCACCAAATAGAAAAATGTTCTCTTGTAAATGGAGTGAGATGGGAAAGTATCTAAATTAAGGTAGATTTCATATCTTTTCCATATTTAGGCTTGAAAATATTTTAATACACAATACTGGGGAATCATTTTTACAAATTTATCTCACCTAGTATTAAATTGGTGGCAGGAACTCGCACTTGATTAAAATGGATCTCAAACTGTCCTCCATGCAAATGATCTATCAAATAGGAAATAAAATTTTAAAGAGCAAAATGAGTTGATTAAAATATAGTCACATATAATTAATCTACTGAAGTATAATTACTCAAAGAAAGTGGGATTTAAAAGCCTCATATGTCACAGACATTCCTAGGTAGATCTGAGCTCTGAACCTCCAGCATCCCTTAGTCCAGAAAATCCATCAAGTGTTCAAGTTAGAAGAGATTTTAGAAATCATTTGATCCAGAGGTTTTTGGACTCATTCTCTAAAGTTGTAGAGCTGCTAAAAGGGAAGACGGCCTCGCAGCACCAACCAGACTATTTGTTATAGTTTTATTATTGCTTCTTCTTTGAAAATTTTTATACAAGCTTCCAAAGAAAATTTTGCTTGGGAAGAAAAAAAAAAAAAAAGGTTCCAATCTTTCAAAAATTGAAAGTGACTAATGTAATTCAAGTTTCTTATTTTATCATTATGGAAACTAATGCCTGATGATGCTAAGAGGCTGCTCAAAGGGACAGAGCAGCCTCAGCATTAGAGATAAAGCACAGACTGGTTTACTCCCAATCTAGGCTTGTTCGCTATGTGTTTGCCTCTTGAAAATATTGGCATTTGACTGAAACTGGGAACATAGTCACACTTTGTCTTTACAGAACCCCTCCTCCTGCCAAGTTCTGGAGATAATCTCATGCTAACTCTCCACCCTTTTCCTGTCAGATTAGACATTAATAATCAACCTTCTCCACACTGTTTCTTTTGGCCTTGGGCATAGGGAGTTGGAGAGGTGCTAGTGAATTTGTCATACTGAAAATTCAAAGATAGGCTCTGCGATGGAGAGTATTTGCAGCCAACCTATATTACAAGCCCATTTTTGGGGTCATTCAGGCTGTTGGTCTGCTTCCTCACGCACAGTTTGCTCCAGTGAGCTTGTTCATTCCCATCTTGCCAACACTTAACCTGTGAGTACATTCCACAGCTACATTCTACAGAGGGTGATGATGTCAAATGTTCTACAAAACTGCAAGTCTTACATCTGCTACTTGAACTTTTTCATTAGCCATATTCAATGATAAAGAGAAAGTCAGAGTCATCACAGAACCGAAGTTCAATATACTTTTTCATAGCATGAACACCTGCTGTATAATCACCATGCTATTTAATTTCCATACTTACATGTCTGTAGTTATTTCCTACCTCCTCCCCCCAGCATGCAAACTATTTGAGGGCAGAGATCTTAGTCTATTTTTTTCACTAATTTATTCTAAGCATTGAGAACAGTGCTCGGCATCCAATAAATACTTGCTGATTGATGACCTGAGTAGAAAGCAAACAGTGGATGTTAGCTTGAGGTGAGTGGCAGGAAATAAAAGTATCCTTGCTTCTTGGAAATTCCACCAAAGCTAAACTTTCTGATGCTAGGATAAATTTTATTGCAGATTACCTAGATTTAATTTTTCTATATATATTTCATTAATCCATCCTCCTGGATGGCAGAGAGAAGACTGGTGGTCAGAGCTGCTGTTCCTTGAATATAATCTCCCCTTTTCCAAAAGTAAAAAAAAAAAAAGAAGTAGAATCCCACACAACCTCTTTTTATTTGCCATATTCTGAACACTGGCATTTATATTAAGATGGTTGTCAGGGCCAAAAGATTTCTGAGACACATCTCATACACTAAAATGCTATCTGTTCCCTTCAGTATTACTACATGTGCTAGTCTTCCTGAACGGTCATGTTGATTTAGTACTTACGCATGTAGCCAAAAATCGACAAAGGCCTTATTATTTCTACTCCAGGTGTGTCGATAGGAACAAGAATTACACTGTGTTGTTTGTATCTGGTCAAAAGGAAAACAGATGTTAGGGGAAGTTTGCTAAGTGGAAAAATAAATGTTAGGATGTTAGGTGGTCACAAATGTTAGGATGTTAGGTGGTCACAATTGTCTTTTTGTTGTTGTTATCATGTAATCATGTAAGTAATGATGTCTGGAATGGGGTCTAAAAAACATACATCAAGCACAGTCAGATGCAGGCTGTGATCTGGAATGATAAGGATTTGAAAATAATTAAGTTATTTGATTGGGGCTTCTCATTGCTCAACAGTGAGAACTGAAATACAATACTAAACATTTTTCAGAATAACTACCTTTGATCTAAATATCAATTACTTAGAGACAGTTCTGAAAATTTCTATGTCTTATAATCTGATCCAAAAAACTGAGCATTCAGCATCACTTTTAATATAGGAAATTCCACACTGAAGAACGTATAGCAACACTCCTTAAAATGATTCCTAAATATATCTTTTAGCAAAATTATGAAGTATAAATATGTGACATTTAATATCATATTATGATTTGTGAGCCCAAATGGTACATTTTAAGTAAATTAAGTGGATAGAAAGACTCTTATTCCTACATAGATTTCTCAATCACAATTGTTTTATTACCTGTCTGTAAAGCTGGTTTTAGTTCTTCCGAAAACAATTGCAATTTTGCACTTTGGGTTCCCAGCTCCTAAAACCAAGGGTAAAATGAGCAGAATACATCATAAAAGGATATTTTTAGTCTGACATTGTATCCTAAAAGTTCTAATCCTTCCACGTTTATCTCTGGCAAAAAAAAAAAAAAAAAAAAAGGAAAGAAAACCTTAATTTATTAAATAAAAATAATGCTTATGGACAAAACTACATAACTTAAGAAAAATGACTAGGCAAGGCCAACAATGGACTCCATCAATGAAAACTGCTGCACAAAAATAACAAGAAGCCATGAAAAAGCTGTAAGCCTTAAGGCAAAGTGACAGCTCTCCCATTCATACCATTTCAGATGTCAATATGGCAGAAAGGTTGTGAAATTCTGCTGTATTTTCTCCTGTTTAGACCTCATATTTTCTGACACATGGACAAGAAGTTATTAAAATTCATATTTACTCCTCAACCAGTAGCTGAGAAAAACCTAATTTTCCCAGCAATGGAGTTGGGTGAGGGAGAGTCTGTTTAAGTCTCTCAGTACCTATTCAGACAGTATTTGCCCTAGCTATACTGTGGAGCAGCTGACAATGCTTTTCTTGGAGCTATAAACATATATGAGGCTCTAAGTCCATCTTCAGTAAGCCTAGGTTCTCATTTATTTATTAAGGGTTGGAAATTTAAAAATATAGTTATTCTCATTTTAACGCAAACTTTTATTTTATCACAGTTCAGAGGTCTATGGCAATTTCCCAAAGAGGTCTTACTGGAAAACAAACAAACACATTTCATTGTCACCAGTAAGTTTAAGAACCTGGGCCCTCAAGGAAACTACCATTTAACTGGCTTTCTAATTACAAAACCATAAACAACTGCGTCAGACTGAGTTTAACATGTCTGTACAAAGTCTTAAATTATCAGATTTCTTATAAAAAGTGCTGTCAAAAGGTTTGAAATTATATAAAGATTCAATAAGAAATGTTAGGAATTATGTCAGATACTTGAAGAATGCCACAAAATCCCAGGAGTTAAAAGGATAAACTCCATGGAACATATGAAAAGACAATGCAGAGATGTAATCGGCAAAATCCAGACAGTGGGAAATTTGAGACAAATAATCCAGTTTCTTAAATAATTAAATTGCAATAAAAAGAAAAAAAGAGAGCTTACAGATTAAAACATACTTAAAAAAAACATATCAACCACGTGCAATTTTTAGACCTCATTTGGATCCTAATTCAATAACTAAAATATTAATAATTTTGAAATAATTACATTGTGAATGTTTACTGGATATGTAATAATATTAAGTGATTTTATGTGTGCTAATGGTATTGTGGTTACATTTTGAAAATAGCTCTTATTGTGATACATACTAAAATATCTGAAGGAAATGATGTGACATCTGGGATTTATTTCAAAATAATATGAGGAAGAAAGTAATGGGAGTAGGGATGAAGCAAGACTGATCATGAGCTGGACATTGTCGAGTCTCAGAACTGTTCAAAGAGTATTCCTAGGAGATCTAAATGTGTAGCAGAGATATGAAGGAGAAAATATGGGTGGTACACTGAAATGTCTGGGAACAGCTCACATAATAGTGAACATGAAGAGTAAAGGAGAGCAGGGCCCAGAGGAAAGAGAGGACTTTAACTCTATAGATTGAGAGGGAATTGGATAAAGGACACAGTGAAGAAGCAGTGCTATAAGAAAAGATGATTAGGCAAGAAACAGAGCAAGGGAAGAAGAGATAAAAAAAAAGAAAATGAAAAAGAAAGAAAGAAAAGAAAAAAGAAAAAAAATGAACAGGAGAGAGGATAAAATTGAAGAGTAAAGTTAGAAAGAAGGGGTCTACTTTAAACCCCAGCACTTATATTTGAAATTTTGAAACTCCATACAGTTGAATCTCTGGCTCTATGGAAGAAACAAATGAAACAGAAAGTACAACTATAGCTCTTGTAGTATTTTCAGTCTATTTGAGAAAATACCAAATAAACAGAGAAAACTATACAATGGAAACAATCTAGAATTTGCTAGAACTCAGAATAGAAACTGAATTGATAGCTTTTCTAAACCCAACTTGGAGAGATTCAAGATGGCAGAGATGTGTTTTTGACTCACATTACTCCTAAAATCCCATTAATATAAAAACATAAAGGTATAATGAAGGCATAACCATAACAGAAAAGTAGAGAAGGTGAGGCATAGGATTGGGGGTGCTGGTGGTCACCAACAGATAAGCGAGTTCAATAACTATGTAGGAAACAGACAGAGGCAAGTTAACTAATGAAATAGGCAGAGAAGTCAGAGTCTAGGAAATGACATAAAGATCTGCAAAGGGACAGGGCTCTGGCCCCAGAATCAGAAGGTGTGACTGAGAAGTGAGGCTTCGAAAGAGGGAATTAATCCAAGATTTATAAGTGGGAAAATGAACCAGGTGGCACTTATAGGCAGGTATTTGACAACCTGAGGAGAAAAGTACATATGGTGTGTTACAAAAAAACCTGAACGAAGTCATTCTGAGACTTAAAAGCTAAGCTTCCCATCAGCTAACTCCAGAGTGAGTCCCAGCCCTGTTCCACCAATTTTCCTTACAGAATTCCTACTCAGAAGAAAAACATGGCTGGAAAAGCCATGTTAATAATGAAGAAAACCAGCTACCCTTCTTTTTCTCTTAAGCCTGGACAGAAAAACAAGGCTCTGAACCCACAGCATTAAAGAGAATGACTGACCAAAATCAACTGTAAAATGGACCATAGAGGAACATAATAAAAAAAAAAGAAACAGAGAGAACCTAAAACAAAATTAAGCTAAACCCAACAACAAAAACTCTAGGTAATGTAATCTGAGAGAGCCAAATGTATTGTAGCCGTTAAACCAATAAAGGATGCTATGAAACAGGAACAGAGAACAAGTAAAAACTCTTAGAGATTTATCTATGGCTGCTAAGACAAAGTTTAATAGAAGTGCTAAAAATCAAATCAGGAAGAGTTCCATAAGCAAAGGAAAAAGTCAGAGACTGAAAATAGGAAAGCAATGATAGAGACACTTAGAGCAAAAACGTCAAGTCCAACATCAGAAAAGGGGTCCAATAAAGAGATAAATAAAGGGAAGAATTTATCAATGACTTGTAGAAGAAAAGTTTCTAAAACTGAAAAAAAAAGTCTTCAGATAAAAAGAGCCATTGACTAGCAAGAAGAATCTATCTTCGGATATGTGCTTGTGACACTTTAAAACATCAACAATAAAGGGAAAATCCTAAGGGGTTTCAAAGAGGAAAAACAAGTCACTTAAAAAGTAATGAGGATTAGACTTGTATCAGACTAAAGACTCTAAGAGAGAGGTCTCCAGAAAAGAAAGAAATTACAGGTATAATTTAGAGGTATGTGTGTATGTGTAAGGGGGAGGAGATAAAATATGATAAAAGCAAATAATGCAATGAAAGAAAAATGACAATTGGAAACTCCAAGAAAATAATTTTTAAATGTACAAGTGAAACATGATCCAAATATAAAACCAACTACAATATGGCATGGATTTACTACATAAAGCATAAGAAAAGCTATTCTAGTATATGTATTGACATTAGACAACAAAGGCCCTTAATTCATGTTAAGCATACTTATTTCAACCAATAAAAGGCAGTTTTAGAATTTCTATAACTTGTGTGTATATGTGTATACTTTATTTTAGAGCAGTTTTGGGTCCACAGCAAAATTGAGAGGAAGGTACAGAGATTTCCCATCTACCACCTGCTCCCACCCATGCACAGCCTCTCCCTTTATCAACATCCCCCTCTAGAGTGGTACATTTGTTACAATTAATGAACCTACACTGACACTTCATAATCACCCAGAGTTCATAGTTTGTCTTACGGTTCATCCTTGATGTTGTACATTCCATGGGTTTAGACAAATAGTGACACGTATCCATCACCATACTTCCCTAAACATCCTCTGTGCTCCACCTATATATCTCTCTCACTCCCAACTCCTGGTAACCACCAATCTTCTTATTGGCTCCATAGTTTTGCCTTTTCTAGATTATCATATGGTTAGAATCACAGCCTTTTCATTTAATAATATGTATTTGTTTCCTCTATGATTTTTCATGATTTTGTAGATCATTTCTTTTTAGCACTGAATAACATTCTATTATCTGGATGTTCTTCTTTTAAATGGCAACCTCTCCCCTTTCTCTTCATCTGAAACTCCAATTACACATATTTTAGACTTTCTGATATTCTCTCACAGCTTCCTAAGACTCTTTTAATTTCTTTCCATCTTTTCTTCAAATTGGATAATTCCTACTTGTTTATCTTCAATTTCATTAACTCTACCCCTGCCATCTGCATTATATCATTAAGCCCATTCTGTGAATTTTTTTCCGATATTTTACTTTTTAGTTCTAACATTTTAAATTGTTTTTTTGTTTTATATTTCTCTTCTGATATTTTCTTTTTCTTTTTTTAACTTCATTGAGCAAATTTATAATTGCTGCTTTAAGTCCTTGTCTGATAATTCCTATATCTGAGTCATTTGGGAATTGGACTTTCCCCTTTGAAAACTGGTAATGTTTTCCTGGTTCTTCATTTGATGAGTAATTTCAGATTGTATTTTAGAGATTTTGATGTTTTTTTGTTTTGAAGACTCTGGATCTGTTATGTGTCTCCCAAGGGCATTGATGTTTTTGTTTTATTGGGCAATTAACTTAGGTAGAGTCCAAGTGTAGAATCTGTCTCAATACAGGAGGGTGGGAGATCAAATTTCAGTTTAGTTCTTTTTACTTAGCTGCAAAGTGCTTGGAGTCTGCCCTGTGCATGACTGATTCAGGAGTCAGCCAGAAACTTGGGCAAAGTTTACACATAAAACCTGGAGCTCCCCTTTTCTGGCTTTCTTCTTTCTTGGACTATCCACCCTATTCCCTCATTTTCCAGCAGCAATGGCTGCCCCAGACACTGTCTTCTGGTTTCTTAGACCATAAAAACCAGAGTTTTCTAGAGAAGCTTCAGCTTTCTCATGCCACAGTGTGTCCTCAAACCAAAGTCTAAAAATGAAAACTCACCTCGTGCCTACATCGTCTTCCAATTTCGACTCCAAAATCAGCCTGCTTTTGGTCACTCCCAAGAGTTTTTAGGCGGTTCCTTTTTTTTGTAGCTTTTTAGTTGTTATCTGTGAGAAGGCTGATCTTAGGTGCTAATTCCCCCACACCAGAAGTGGAGCTCCCTCAGAGGGCTTCTCTTTACCCATTCTTCACTTACCTGGTGTGATAGTTTCTTATATATTCATGTACCTATCATTAGTGTCTGCAGAAGTTTTAGAAATGTAATGATCACCTCAAAATATGACCATATAAGAACTGGAAATCTTAGAAGCTCTAAAATTTTAAAACCCATAAAACCAAGAGCTTAAAATTCTAATCCCCTCAATTATTCTGTCTTGTAAATTATACATGTAAAGTAAAATACAGTTAAGATTAAAATGCAATTGTTTTAAAAAAAACAATGCTTGTAATTTGGATTCTTTCAAATTTAACAGAATCTATGTTTCAATCAGTTCTGACCCAAAGAGCACTAGGATGATTAAAATGGCAGATAATAATACTTTCATGTCATCATAGATCTTATCTGAAATTTCTTATCTGAAAATGCTGGACTGGGGAAATTGTTTTTCACTCTTTATTGGTCATAGCAGTGCAATAATATGCAATCATGCTTTGGTTCTCGGTTAGAAATTATAGAAAATGACTTTTTTCTAGAGAGGCTCACTTTTAATTTTTCAATTGAATATTTTTCTAGTTGGGGTTTTTGAGGTTTTAGTTGTGGGAAACCTTGAGGCCCACAGGCTGAAGGGTCAGACCACTTGCCTCATATAACTGTCTCTTTGGTGTGCATACTTCTGAAAATTAGATTAGGACATAATGGCATGATTTGGGGTTCATCTTCATTGGAGATCCTTTTCTTTCTCAATTTCTATCCTGGTAATCAAGAACATTTTGGATAAATCTTTTAAGGTTTCATGGCTCTTAATCCTAGATAACCAGAAGCTGAATCCTTCAAAAGTAAAATCTTCTCTACAATTCCCTTAGGCTCTAGTCGAAAGCCCTATTTTTCTAATATGCAGAATATATTTTTTTCTTTAATATTTTCCAGTAGCCTTTCTTGCTTTGCTCTTTCTGTCATGAAAATGTGTTGCCACAGTTTTATGTAAATGCCTAATAGATTTCAAATATCGGGTAATTTTGGAAAAAAAAAAAAAACCTAAAAAAAAAAGGCAAATAAATTATTTGATTCTCTCTTGCTCAATCTAATATGGAAAACTATTCAGATTAAAAAAAAAATAAAACTTCTAAATTGGCTCTCCTTCTGAGGTCATTAAGTAGAGGAAGGGTGAGTGCTTAGGTTATACATTTTGAAATGTTTTGATTTAACCTTGATATTTCAGAAAATGGAAAAAATCCCTCACAAATATATCATCTCATCTTAGCTACAAGCAGAATTTGGCAGGTACAGCAGCTGAAATGTCTTTCTTCTAAAGAGAGTTTTTACTCTTTTATATTATTTTAGTTAATGAACAGGATACCAAATGTCATAAATGAAATATGTTAGAGGAAATCTGAATAGATCAGTAAGCATTTAAATATATCTGTTGTATCACAGGCCTTCATGAATGAAAACAGATGGCATAGATAAAATAATTTTGTTTTTCATCTAGACTCTGTGGTATTTCAAGACTGTTCATGAGTCAGGATTAAGTCAGGCTGAAAATGACATCTTCCTGATATTTGCTGATGAATTTTAATTTCTTAGGCTCTTACAAACCACATGGCTATCACACAAAATCATTCTGTAACACAAGGAAAGATGACAGGTGGAGAAAAAACATGACCGTTGAGTATAGATGTGGTCTATAACAATAAAATGATGTACACAATTACATAATACAAAGAACAGTTAGGCATCCATAAAGTCTCTAGCCAAGATGTAGAAGCAACCTAAGTGTCTATCCATAGATGAACGGAGAAGATGTGGTATGTATGTATAATAGATTACTCGGCCATACACAAGAATGAAATCTTACCATTTCCAACAACATGGATGGACCTAGACAGTATTATGCTAAGGGAAATAAGACAGAGAAAGATAAATACCATATGGTCTCACTATACAGGTAACCTCTAGACCTATATACATTTATTTATAATAAATAAATAAATGAATAACAAAACAGAGTCATAAAGAACACATTTATGGTTGCTAGATAGTAAAGGATTGGGGGGCTGGGTGAAAAAGGTGAAGGGATTAAGAAATACAAATTTGCAGTTACAAAACAGTCACGGGATATAAAGTACAGCATAGGGAATGTAGTCAATAATATTATAATAACTATGTATGGTGTCAGGTGGGTACTAGACTTATCAGGGGAATGACCTCGTAAGTTTTGTAAATGTCTAACCACTATGGTGTACCCCTGAAACTAATATAATATTGAATATCAACTCTAATTGAAAAATAAAAAGTTTTTTAAAAAGTATAACATCAAGGGCAAGTAAAATGGGATAATAATCAGAAGGAAAAGTAGGTTATTTATTAATTCAAAATATTTTAGGCACTTGGGATATATCAGTGAACAAAGTAAACAAAAGCACCTTCTCTGATGAAACAGTTTATTACAGGGCAAGAGGCAATAGACAGCAAACATAATAGAAATGATATGATACATTAGTACATGATAAGTGCTATGGGTAAGGTGGATTGGGAGTATAGGCAGGGGAAGGGTATTTTAAATAGGGAAGTCAGGGACTGCTTCAGTGGCAAGGTGGTAACCGGACAAAGACTTGAAATAGATGAGGGAGTGAGGCTTGCAAATATTAGGAGGAAGCACCTTCCAGCAGATAGAAGAGCCAGTACGAAAGCCCTAAGAAGGAAATGTGCCTAGTACATTCCAAAACAGCAAGGAGGCTGGTGTGGCAGAACAAGTGAACAAAGGGGCAAGTAGTATGAGAAAAGGTTAGAGGCAATGAGGGATGGAGACAGACTTTGTGGGATTTTGTAGACCACTCTAAGAATTTAGTGGAAGGATGCTCATTCATTTCCTCCTGCCCCGATATATATCAGATCAAGAAGAAAAAGAGGTAAGAAAAGGGGAAGGACCAGGTATTCTGGAGAGGGCAGGAATAGGGATAATATTAAAAGCAGTGTCCTTCAGAAGGCAGCAAGAAATTGATGATCAGTCACGGTAAGTACAAGAGATGTCTATTTTGGGAGAAGTATGCTAGAGCCTGTGCAGGAGAGGTGATTGTCCTTGCCTCTTAGCAGTTTTGCTTTCAGTAACTTCACATTGGTATCTTGAAATTGACCATGGTGGAACCATTTACACAGTGGAAAATGACAAACACCACCAATCCAGGCACACTAAACCAGCTTGGTGAACTGGTTTAGCTGCATACAAATGACTCTTTCTGGAAGAGTAGCAGATAAGAGAGAATCTGGCTGCACCTTCAGATATGTACTGTGGGAAGATGATGGAAGATAAAGGCCCTAGAGCCTCTTCTGTGATCAATGAGTTGGATCAGTTGCTTGGAGAAAAAGACAACAGGGGTCTCAAATAACTTCTGCAGGTGGATACTGAGCCTACCCTTACATGAACATATAATAAATAAGGGAAATGTTATGCAAATGTGAGGAAGAGTAAAGTTCAAATAAACCACAAGGGCTAAATCTACATAAATTTCTCTTTAATTTTCATTTGTTTGGAAATGCAAGAAGAATAAACAACCTACTCAGACATAGGAACAGATGCTGGTCTTTGAAAAAAAGGTTACAAGAAGGCAGAAGAATTTAAATTCATGGGGAGAAGATTCTCTGGGATCAAGGATAGAGGAATACAGTGAAGTGGGGGAGGAGTCTAATAGTAAGTAAAATATTAATGTGGCATTAAAAAATTAAGTGAGGTATATGCCTAATGATTACTTAGAATTTAGGCTTTGATAATTTACTCTTCAAAAAGATAACTTTCTGGGATAAAATGTTTGTTTTCTTTCCTAGACAAAATAATGTTAGAGAATATTTCTCTAGCTGCTACCTACAAGTGCTTGTTGGCTGGCTGCCTTGTTGCTCTCAGTGGATTTTTTCGGTTAGGCAGTCAGTTCCTCAGCAACAGACGCTTTCTGATTGCCTTCGACTGAGTGGAAACTTGGAAAGTCTGTAGTTACTGAAACAAGATGGAATTTTTTTAGGTTTGTATCCTAAGACACTTAAGAACTTGGATTTGATTTCATAGAATGGTTATACATGAAATAAAGATCAAGTGCTCACAAGATTAAATTTCAGGAAAGCCCTCTTGGGTGTAAGACAAAGGCGGGGTATAAAACGAAAACAAAAGTAGCCTGAGTTAGAGAGGTCACTTGATCTTACTCTGCGCTCAAGACTGCTGCCCTCTGCTCACTGAAACAGGTTGGTTTTTTTCATTCTTCTCTCATTCTGACTGGGATATAATATTTTTTTTAAGCGAAAGGACTCTATATATTTACTTATATAGAGGGAGTCTTGATGCATAAAATTCTAAATGTTTACATGTGCAAAAAAGAGCTATTTAAAAACAGCTATATACTTTCACCTTAAAACAAAATTCTGAATGTAGCCAGAAGAAAATATATTATTTTAATACTATTACTTGACTATGAAATTTTAATGAGAAAATAGGTTTTGTGAAACCATTTTTTGCTTTGTTTTACAAATACTATTTTTTTGTTCTTGTAAAAATTATAAAGACATCTAAATGTGTTTCTATGTATCTGCCAGAAGATCATTTCTGCAAATATTTTCCATTTCTGCTCTTAATTATGCACATTTTTAGTAAAACTAATTTTTAAAATATCCTTCCTTAATACTTTATATTATTTCTTATTATATGGTTCAAGATTTCTGTGATAAAAGAGAAGGGAAGAACAAAGTTCATATTGTGTTAATAATTAATGCATAAGAAAGTGAAAATCATTTCCGGAGTAATCTTCTGGATTGAAATGTTTCAAATAATCTTAAAGATAAAAGTAGTCATTTAAAATTGTCGGCACCTGTTTTTAAATAATGAGAGTAGTTCTTTTATGTGGTATCTTTCTTCAAGGGACCGTCTTTACTTTTTACTCATTCAAAAAGGGTTACCAAGTGTAAAAATATTCTTTTAAAAATGTACCATAGTTGGCGCTCTATTTTGAAAATATTTTCATTAATAATTTTATAAGAATATTTGAGATTCTTCCAAGGATAAAAAATAACCAAAAGGAGACAGAAAGGCTAAGGAAAAAGGAGAACAAAACTCAGCACTATAATAAAAACACTGAAAGTCATAATTAAATACATTTTAAAACTCATGAATTCTGTGTAAGCTGATCTTACTACTACAGGATATTAATAGATAATAGAGTAAAATAACTTAATGATGAAGACAGGAGAGTAACAACTTTACACCTGCTGGTAAAACCTTTGAGAGATATTAACAGAGCAACTAGTGTATGCCAAGCGTTCATTAAAGTATTAATTACAAACATAAATCAAACAGGTCATACTCTTAGGGAACTTAGAGCATCGAGGAAGAAGGTAGTCTTTTCATCTTTTTCACAGGATAGGGTCAGTTCTCTGAGAGGTATGGATATATAGCTTTTGGATCAGGAAAGTCTTCTGGGGAGGCGACATCCAAGTTACCTGAGTAGGAATTGGCCCTTCGAGGGAAGGGCAGGACACAGTATATCAGATAAAGGAACAGAATGAGTAATAATATAGACATGTGCTACACCAGGTGTGTGCCAACAAACTGCTGGCAAATCAGTACAATTACTATCTATGGTGTGGGGTCCATTGTAGAGATATGTGGTAGGAACTATAGGTAGGACCCCATTATGTAGGAGCCATGGGTATCATGCTAAGGATCTTGGATTATATCTTTCACATGAAGAGATGTGTCTTTCAGGTGAGGAGCTAAGCAGGGGAGTGGCAGATTGGCATTTTAGAGATACAGCACTCTGATAGCAATCAGAAAAATGGGTTTGACAAGGAGGTGGTAAGAAGAAATAAGAATAGTAGGATACCAGTTAGGAAGATATTGCAGTAGACTAGGTAAGAAACAATGATGGTTTAATTGTACAGATGTATCAAAGAGCAGATTAAAAGGAGGAGACAGGTTCAAGACCTATTTGGAAGGTAAAATCAGAATTTAGGGGCTGACTGGAAATCAGAGGTGAAGGTAAGAGAGAAGTCAAGGATGGTGCTGGCTTAAGGCTTAGGTGACTGGTGGAATGATGGTACTACCAAATGGTAGCACCAATTAAGCATGTAGTGACAAGTTTTTGAGATAAGCTAACTAGAAAAGATTGTTTCATAAAGGCCAACCAATGAAATTAAGTACAAATGCTGAGACAATTTATTTATTTTAAAATAAATTTATAAGTAAATAACAAAAGTAAATTTAAGTAATTAAAACGTTTTATTTCTATCAATATACTATATCAGAATTACAAATTTGTATATGTAAGAATTATAATATTTTGACTCCTTTTTGTTGAAATCTGACTAAATTTTCATATTTTAAAAACTATGTTTAAAAAAAGCCACTACTAAAAAAAAAAAGCCACTACTATTATTTGTTGCTTAATGATTAAGAAAATCCCCCAGGGTATTATTTTTAGCTTCCCTGTGTAAATCCTAGCTCCTGCATTACAGACTTGGAAAAACAGAGGATGCAAAACTAGTCTTGGGGATATACTCCAATGTGGCTTCCAATTAAAGGGTTTCAAAGAGTGGCAGATTCAGTCTCCTGTATGTTATTGCAACAATCTATTCTCTGGTAAAAGAACAAAACATATGCTAGATAAAAAGTATTTTCTTTTAAGCAAAATTAAAATGAATATCCTGTATTCTTTTTGCCATTTAGGTTGCAGACATGGCTTTGGAACACAACCAGTCAACAGATTACTATTATGAGGAAAATGAAATAAATGGCACTCATGACTATAGTCAATATGAAGTGATCTGTATAAAAGAAGAGGTCAGAAAATTTGCAAAAGTTTTCCTGCCTGCCTTCTTCACAATAGCTTTCATCATTGGACTTGCAGGCAACTCCATAGTAGTGGCAATTTATGCCTACTACAAGAAACAGAGAACCAAAACGGATGTGTACATCCTGAATTTGGCAGTGGCAGATTTACTCCTTCTATTCACTCTGCCTTTTTGGGCAATTAATGCAGTTCATGGCTGGGTTTTAGGGAAAATCATGTGCAAAGTCACTTCAGCCTTGTACACAGTCAACTTTGTCTCTGGAATGCAGTTTCTGGCTTGTATCAGCATAGATAGATATTGGGCAGTAACTAAAGCTCCGAGTCATTCAGGAGTGGAAAAACCATGCCGGCTCATCTGTTTCTGTGTCTGGATGGCTGCCATCTTGCTGAGTATACCTCAGCTTGTTTTTTATACAGTAAATCACAAGGCTAGGTGCATTCCCATCTTTCCATACCACCTAAGAACATCAATGAAAGCCTCGATTCAAATGCTGGAAATCTGCATCGGATTTGTGATACCCTTTCTTATTATGGGAATCTGCTACTTTATCACAGCAAAGACTCTCATAAAGATGCCAAACATTAAAAAATCTCGACCTCTCAAAGTTCTGCTTACAGTGGTTATAGTTTTCATTGTCACTCAACTGCCTTACAACATTGTCAAGTTCTGCCAAGCCATAGACATTATCTACTCCCTGATCACCGACTGTGACATGAGCAAACGCATGGATGTTGCCATCCAAATCACAGAGAGCATCGCACTCTTTCACAGCTGCCTCAACCCAATCCTGTATGTTTTTATGGGATCCTCTTTTAAAAACTACATTATGAAAGTTGCCAAAAAATATGGGTCCTGGAGAAGACAAAGACAAAGTGTGGTGGAGATTCCTTTAGATTCCGAAGTTCCTACAGACCCAACCAGTACATTCAGCATTTAAATATCAAACTGCCCTGTGTCTTGCTTCGATACACATGAATGATGCTTCTTCCTCAGATACAACATCTGCATTATTCTGAAACTCAAATCTCAAACACTGAGGTGGCAACTTATACCAAAGAAGAGGTTGGGGAAAGGAAGGACATAGGATGAAGCCAAGAAGAAGAGGAAACAAAATAATCAATGCGTAAAATATGAAAATTAAAATGAACAATATTGGAAAACAGTAGTAACAGGCATAAGTCATAAAAACACTATTTTATAAGTTAGGCTATCTAAAACATTAATAAATATTAAAGAGGCATTTATAATTATTTTAAATTATCTAAATTTTAATATAAGAATGATTTCCCTGCATAATTTTAGTACTTGAATAACTATAGAACAAAATGTAAGCTATTTTTCTTTACCTGTCTCTTAATTTGTGAGTTAATAAGACTACAGAAAGAATAATAATTAACAAAAACAAAAAATACATAAAAAGCTTTTCTAATCCTTTTAATCCATTCCTGGAAAATTTCTAAATGCATAATTTGCTTCCATGTGTCAACTTTCTTTAGTAATATGCTGGTTATCCTGTTAGATTTATCATGTATACTCTAGAAGCAATCCTCAGATAATTATATTTATCTAGGTTCTAATTTTTATAACTTTCTAAAGGGTTCATCCATTTATGCAAGTCTATTACTGAGGGCTGACTAAGTAATGTATTTTTCTATGTATACAGATTTTTATTTTTCACTTAAATACTTGTATTCTTAAGCAATAAAAATATGTACCACAATAAATTATTTTTAATAACATGTATAGTTTCTCTCTTTAAAAACAACTATATGTAAATGATTATAGTCTACGTAATATGTCCCTATTAAAATTTAATTCTGACGGAAATTACAGTGGTCAAAAATATTGGGCACTAATATGAATTTTATCTATCAAAAACTGTAAAAGACATTTTCTGCTCTTTAAATAGACATCACCTGATCAAGACATGTTTTAAAATCACTTTTCTTTTTATCAACTATTTCTAAATTTAAAAATGCTTTCAAAGGCAGAATTTAAAGAACTATGATCATGAAATAAAGAACTATGTGTCATATTATTCTAGCACAGCATCTAGCACAAAGGATCAATTTGAATACTCACCAGTAATCCACCATTTCTTGCCGTTAATCACATAGCTATCTCCATCTCGTTGGATGCTACATTCAATATTTGTGGCATCACTAGACGCTACATTGGGCTCTATAAATAAGCAAAGGCAGAATTTACAGGAAGGCAGATACCATCAGTTTATAAAAGAGACTTATTTAAAGAAATGTGACCTCTTTGAGGACAGAGAAAGCGTCTTTGTCTTTTTCATCTTCCTGTCCTTCCCCCATTCCACTCTAATTCTCCCATAACCTACACATAGTAAGTATTCAATAAATGTGCATTAAAAGAACGAATGAATGAACTATTTAGAACACTGGGGATCAGCAATCTGAATTGTGTTCTTGGCTTCTTCATTGATACTTAACTTGGAATACAACTCAATCCTTTCTCCAGTCATCAAAAGTAGATTGAAAATATTATTCTTTCCATAATGAAATCTGTACTAAATATCTGCAGGCCAGATTTCCCCATCATACAGTTTACTATCTTAAATAATTTCTAATTGCGCCTTGCAAATTCCATTAGGGATGCTTTCACGGATTTATTTATTTTGTATTCTATAAAGCCTGCTCAACACATAATGTCTTTAGAAAGTTTTCCATAGGACACCCTTACACAACTGCTTTAGTGCATGGCATTTCAGAATTTATAGGCTAGCTCTATTATGCATAGTAATCTGCACTTGTTAATATGCTACTCTTTTAAATGGGTCCTTCAGATATTTTATGTGTTCTTTTTCTAAACTAGAGACTCAGCCCCTTTAGAAAAGGAGTTGTGTACTTATTTTGTAACCTCAAATTAGTGCTTTGTAGATAATGAATCATACTGTAGGTGTTCAATAAATGCCTCTAACTGATTTAAATGGAGATCAGTTTTGCTATTATAAATATATGCAGTGTTACAGAAGATAAAATCTGGCCAAAATTATGGACAAGTGAAATATAGTTTAATTCTTAACTCAATTATGAAATGATGGCTTTGTCCTTCGAAGAGTTCTTAATTATTGTTTCCTATGTACGAAAGGTACCAAACCTATTTTTATTTCCCCATATGATTACTCTTTGAGCTTTGTGACCAGTATTAGTTTTTAGTATATGTGCTGCCGAAGCGAGCACTATGACCAGTATTAGTGAAAGTTCTATTTTTCTGGGTTTATGTAGAGTTAAGTATAAGTATCAATATAAAATTATCACAAAGATGAATATTTCATACATAAAGGCAAAAAAGATCATAAATAGCCATAGACGGCAATTTTAGAAATGCAACTCAAAAGATTATGAAACTAGGTTTACCCTGCAGCTAATGCCTAAAGTATGCTACCAGGATATATCATCTGGTGTCCTCTCAAAAGGGAGGGCAATTTTATTCTGCACATTTAAAAATGCCAAAATTTAAAGCTGAGCTCAAAACAAACATATTCACATTTCTGGCCATGGACAATTTTGCCAGAAACACAGAACAACATCCCACATTTCTTCAGCTCATCCATAATAAGTCTAGGATGCCTGATTGCACAGGGGAAAACAGTGATTTGCTTTTACCTGACATACAGAAGCAGGAGGCAATGCTCCCTTGAAGAAGAGGCTCAAGCCACTGCTGCTTCTGCTTTTCACTTCCATATAGGTGGAGCAACTCCATGTTCCCAGAGTCTATACATAATAAAAAGCATTTCTTTCAAATTTAAAAATTTACCAATATTAACTTCATGTAGTAAATATAGACATGCATCTTTTTAAAGCAAATGTTTGCTAATAAAAATATTTTGAAGTAAATAGTAAATATAATTTATAATGCAGGTATGCCATAGATAGTTACAAGTACATGGCATTCAGTGCATATTTATTCAACTTGTTCTGAATCACAGATGCTTGTACACTTCATCCCAAAGAAGCATGGCTCTAATGAGACCTAATTCAATTAGGACTGAGGAAAACAATTTACTGGCTTAAACTTTGCTGACTTGCAAATATGTTCTGCTAAGAGTGATTGCAATGCTCCTGGAAAACAATTAACATTATTCTACTGAGACTCCGGTTCCTCAAACATATCCTTGTGCTTTCTAACTTCAACATGATTGCTTGAGCTAGGCTTTCTCTCAAGTGAAATTCTACCGATTATTCCTAAGTAAATTCTTGCTTCTGAGCTACCACCACTGTGAAGAATCTCCAATTAACCAGTCAAAAATATCTCCTTCCTCTGAACTCACATAGTAATTACTGTCTCTGCCTCTAACATTGCTCTTACTTTTGTATACCCCATACCATCTAGAAAATTACTAGGTCATATTTCAAGAATGCTAAACACAGAATTCCTGCCCTGGGTAGAAAAATGACAGTAGATAACTTCGAAGACCCTCTCCAACCCTCAGAGGGTATTGTTCAGTACATGATAACACTGTAGTATCACTCTTGGGTAAAAAAGAATGCCTTTCTCTGATTTTCAGTCCTATCAAATTTCTAAAAATACCATCTAAAATCTTTTTCTTGAATATTGATTACTTATATATGCAATTTTGAGGAAAAATATTTCAGTATCACCTCTTAAAATGACTTTAAAGATACTCACCGAAATGCCTATGAAAATTAAGTCTAAGTCTCTCAAAATATGTTTGTACTCTGTTCAACACTCCTAACAGAGTCAAAGTTACATTAAAATGCACCAAATTTCTAGTAGATTAACACAAGCTTAAAATTCTTTTTGATTGAAGGAGAAAATGAGTCCCGAAATTAATGAAACTCATTGTTTTATTTGCTTGTTTTAAATTCAGTGTTTCTTGTTCTAGTTCACGTGAGGTAAATACTGAATAAAATTTTCCAAAAATTACCAGTTTATTCTGAGAAACTGGCAAAACAAAGCTATCATTTATGGGTTGGGAAAAAGAGCCTAGATAAATTATTTCTACAATTTTTTCCCCTGAATCATCCCAAAGGTCTCCAAATTTTTCGTAATAGCTTTAGAATTAAAATTGCTATTTTCAACATTTCAATATAATTGAAGGGCAAAAAACATAAAAGACAAATTGGAAGATAATGTATGTTTCCCATAATCTTTTATAACTATTATAATTTGGGCAGCTTGAGTAGAAATTCATATTTTATATTTAAAAAAACCTTCCAAAGTATTTAATTGACATCATTTATATACCATTCTTTATCTGCTTTATAAATGTTCCAAAACACAATGCCAGTAAGGCCTTCATGAAGATATTTCCACTACAAAAAGAAAATGCCTAGTTTTCTACTTACTTATGGTTTTACACATTTTGTTTGCTAAGGAGAGTTGTTAATCATACATCAATCGAAGAAAATGTATTTCTCTGGCCAATTTAAAAATTTCAGCAGTTTGATGATATCATTTAGACAGTACAACCAATAGACATGTAAAATTTTAATATGAAAAAAAATCCATGACCACCTAGTGAAAAGTGAGTTTACAGGTCAAATGGAAAAATAGCAGCAGAGCTATATCTGCAAAGAAGGTCTTCTACAGCATTATTTTTCATATTATGAATCATTAGTGTGTCATGAAATTATTGGAATATGGCTAGCAATCTCTAAAATATAAGATAAATCAAAAGAGAATATGTTAGATTAGACTCAGTGGAAAATATCTGAATGCATTGCACGTAGTAAGGGAAACTATTGTTTTATGAAGACTTTTTTCAGGAATATATAAGTATCTCTCTCTCCCTGTCCCAAACCTCCATCCGTCCATCAATGAACACACACAACTACATATGCTATAGACTGAATCACAATATAAAATATATTTCTTAGTATAAGTAGCAATAAAAAAGTTTTAAACAAAAAACTACCAGTTCTCTTTCCATAAAATTATGCTACCTACATAGCATGATATAATAGCTTCACACAAGTGAGATGAAATCTTTAGAAACTCCATACTTACTTACTTTTGCAATAGCCTCATTATTAGATTAAAATGTCATAGCATGGTAATTTGATAAATTAGTGTTTTGAAGAGGGAAAACAGCATCAGGGCCAAGTTCGACCATCATCAGAAGTCTATGAAGTGTCTCAATGGTTCCAAAGAAATGAGAGTCAAAGTCCAGTGAGGAAATACTTCCCTAGGCATCCAGATAGTGTTTTCTCTCAGATATCCAATATACCTCTTTCTGATAGTTCAACCCTTCATTAACTCTTTTTGTGACAGCTTTAGCACCAGGGCCATATAGTAAGCACAAAAGGAAACACCGAGGCCTACCTTGTTCAGGAACACTATAGGATATCATATCATCATCCTTCTACTACAAATCGAATGCTAGCTCTTGATTGGCAGCATTAAAATAGCCAGAGTAACTTGGCAAAAAAAAAAAAAAATACAGAAGACATTCCTAGGTTCTACCCTCAATCTACTGAATCAGAATCTCCAGGATGGAGTCTATGAATTTTGATTTTTAAATTTTTTTGAAGTTACTTAGGTAGTTCTTCTGAAAATCCAGGTTTGAAAACACCTTCTATAAACTACATCTCAGATTTGTCCCTTCCACATTACTTTTTTAAAGAAAATTTGGCCTCCATCTCTCATTCTTCCAATCGTTGACTCCCCCATTTATATCTCATATCCAATCAGGAAATCCTCTTGGCTTTGACTTCAAAATATATTTAGAATCTTTCCACTTCTCACCCCTTCTGCTGCTAGTATCCTAGAACAAATCACCATCATCTCTCCCCAGAATTATTATAACAGTTTCTTGATTCCCTCTTT